GCTGATATTAGCTCAATCACACAAACTGTTTGGAGCAGCGTTTCTTGCACTTCAACGGTTCTTACCCAATTGAGTGGTTGTCACATTAGGTCAAGGACTGACAACACGGCTGTGGTCTCATACATGGATTGTCAGAGAGGATTACGCTCTCACCCCCTGTGCAGGTTGGTGAGATGTGTTCTTCTTTGGACGCAGACCAGGTTCCTGTCGATCAGAGCAGTTCATGTCCCAGGTCACCTGAACTCAGGAGTGGACTTAATCTTGAGACAGAGTTTGGAGGCTGGAGAATGGAGACTGCACCCTCAGGTGGTGAGTCTCATATGGCAGAGGTTTGGCCGAGCGGAAGTGGATTTGTTTGCTTAGAGCATGCGCATTGCCCGCTCTGGTTTCCTTGTCTCCTCCGTCGCCTCTGGGTGTGGACGCTCTAGCCCAAGAATGGCCCAGGACCAGTCTTATGCCTTCCCGTCGACCTGTTTGCTCCCAAACGATTCTGTTCAGTGTAAGGTTGGGCAGAGTGAACGTCTGTTGTTGGTGGTGCCGTTTTGGCCCACTCATACGTGGTTCTCAGAATTGGTCAGTCTGTTAGCCGGCCCCCTTGGGAGGTTCCCCTCAGACACGACCTGCTGACTCAGGTTCGGGGCATGATTTGGACATCCCCATCAGGATTTTTGGAACTAATGGGTGTGACCCCTGAACGGAGTTGAAATGTGTTCCGGTCTCTTGGCAGAGATTACCGACACTATTCTTAATTCTAGAGCTCCCTCCACGAGACGCTGTATGCCCTTAAGTGGACACAATCTGCTGGTTTCCCGTTTCATGCAGGGACGAGACGGCTTAGGCCTTTCCGCCCAGCACAGATTCCTTTTTGGGACTTATTTTCGGTTGGAAGGCCTGGCAGGCCATCCATTTGAGCCGTTTAAGTCTGTCAGATAACTTTGGAACCTTAAGCAGTTTTTTGGTAATCCTATCCTCTCTTAGAGTACTGAGGAGCTGCAGGCTCTGTCAGCTCCTCTTGTATGGACTTTGCCCCGAGGCTAGTTAAGTCTTACTGCTTCCTAGGCCTAGTTAATCCTAAGGCTGCTTCGACTCCGTTTCGCTTTCAGCAAGTGGTTGGAGGCTTTCTCCCCTGCTATGCGGGGTCAGATAGTGACTATACCTCTAGCCTATGAGGCGCGTGGTGTGACTTCGCCTCTAGAGGTGCGTGCTCATTCTACGAGAGCAATGGCTTCTTCTCAGGCTCTCTTTAAAGGGCCTTTGATGGGAGATGTCTGTGCTGTGGCAGGTTAGTCCTCTCCTAGCACTTTCATCAAGTTCTACTTGTCTGGACGTGAGGATGGCTCTTGGCTCCCGGGTCTCTTCCACTTGAGCAGACTCTTTCCTCGGTCTTCCAGCTATCTTAGGTACGTCAGGCGTGATGGTATAGCGTTCCCATAGCGATGACATCATCGCAGCATTGAAGTGAACCTATGAGAGGGAACATCTCGGTTGCGTATTAGGCTATTCAGTACATACGTAACCGAGATGTTTTTCATAGTTTACCCAACTATGACGACTTCTGCTGCTGAGAAACACGGAAACGTGAAAAAAAGTCCATACCACCTTCGTCCCCTGCTTTTTGATGAAAAAATATTACATTGAAGATTATTTTGCAGACAGTGCGAGAAAAAAAACAAAGCAGAAGCAAACAAGCTTTCCAGCTGGTTGTTCGTCAGTGGACGGGGCTAACGTGCAATTGGTATTGCCATTGGCTAAAGCTCACCTTTCGTTTTGATTTATGGGCGAACGCAGGATTAATATTCATGAGAGCATTAGCGTGACATCATAGGCACTGAAAATCTACCTGAGTGAAGACGCGATGAAAAAGAGAAGTTGTCTTTGACTGTTGTGAGTAATGTTGTTCAGCAGATATATTAAATATTTAAATACATTTAAATAAATATATTTACATTTATTTTCGGACCTCATTATTTTTTATATTATTAAATTTATATTATTAAATATTAACTTTATTTATTATTTTTATTTTTTGTTACAGAAGCACTGAATGACTAATAATGTCTCAAGCACCACTACCAGCATATATTTCTCTATAACAATATGTGTAGGCTACTTGCATTCATACATGATTATCTGGTCGCAAACCAACAAACCAGACCAGATTAACCTTTCTGTTAGACCAGAAAACCAGTTTTGGCTGATTAAAATAATTTTCAACCGGGTTGTAGTGAGTAAGTTTATGCAGGCAGGAAGAGACCGATGGCTCAGAGCTCAGAGCTATCTTAAAGGTTGAGTGTATCAATTTGTTGGGAAATTGCATGTGAAATGTGTGCCTCTGATGGAACGTCTACATTTATGCAATTCTCCCATCACACTTCAGATGTGCTACAACGCTGCTGCCATGACAACAGCATTTATCATGACATCACCTCCCTAGAGTGACTCAAACTGCGGGCAGGTCTGAAATATTTGTATGCATGAGAATGAGAGAGAGAGAGAAAACTAGATAAATTGATGAGTTTGTCTGAAAGCATTTACCTAATCAGTAAGGACGACAAACAACACACAGCCGGAGACGATTCAGTAGACATCCACATATTTAATTCTATGTAACAAAAATAATTACACATCTTTGTTCCAGAAGCTTTACGATACTGAAAAAGTGAACAGAAACCAGACATTTAGAAATGCACAGCACACATACAGTACAGCAAGCATTGTATTGCACAACTGGATACAATTACTCCCTTTTCAGTGTTATTATTCTGGGACATAATCAGAATTTGCAGTGGAAGGTTACACATGTGACCAACTTACATTATATTTTCAAGCTGTATTATAAATGTTAATGCAATCAAAATACATTTTCAATTATTGGGTGCATGTTCACAACATCTTTGTGCGTGTGTGTATACATATATATTCAATATATATCTTATTTATTATCCAATTTGATGTTTTATAGAGTCTTTGGCACAGAAATTCTCACATTGGACTTTAGCAGTGGCATGAGTCAATTTAATGGCAGATCGGTACATTGCACAACATCCACAAGGCCCCTTTTGCACTTCCCATAACCATTACCCGTGACCATTACTGCGTTTATGTAATCTAATCACAGTGATCATTAGATAGTCAGATGGTCAGTCTGAAAGATTGCAGACCATACATTGAGTAACGCTGGTTCTGAATTGCGGTGGTAGATAAAATTCAGTGACAGTGACCAATTAAATTTGATTGTCCCTTGTGAAAAAGAAGCACACTTTAGCATACTTTTAGAAAGAGTACTTAATATACTTTAAAGAATATACTTAAGTGTGAACTGAATGTAATGTTTTCAGACACTTATTTGCATGTTAATTGCAATTAAATGAAAAAGTATTATATTTTAAATTTAATAATGTTAAATGGAATAATGTTAAATGGAATAAGCTGAATTATTTGACCTATTTAAGTAGGACTTAAGTACTGTACATCTTTGTATTATGTGCATTTATATTAATTATTTATAGTAAAGTCAAATATACTTTAATGTTGTTTCTATTGAAAATTGTATGTCATGTATTTAAAACATTTGTAATTACACATTTGTAATGATGAAATTGCAGTTTAGTACATTTAAAATATTTTAACCATGTAGTTTACATGTGCTTTAGTATGTTAATCAACACATCAAAATAAGTGTACATCTTCAAAGCTTGACAAAAGATTATTAAAACATAATGATTTAAAATGTACTTTAAACTTTTAATTTGACAATATTACAAAGTGTACTTAAGTGTGTTAAGAAATAGTTATAAACGTGGACTCTCTTTAAGTACACTTAAGTGGCCTTTTAATTTATTTGTATTATCTGCAGGTACAGTTTTTTTTTAAATATACGATGCGATTTGAAGTACACTACAAGTGCACATTCAGTACAATTAAGCACACTTCTTTTTCACAAGGGGCAGCACAGTTCAGTATAAAGAAAGCTACCATGTGACATAAGAAAGAGATTTCTTGCTGCTCATGAGCAGGGGTGTAAAACAGCGGCAGAGGTGTGTGAATGTGACAGGAAACACATCCCACAAGGATTTCACAAGATTATGAGTAGTGTAAAAGCAGTTGTGACAAAATGTGCTTATACGCGAGTAAACAAAATTGCTTAAACTGCTGTTACTGAAGATGTAACATCACAGGATATGCTGCAAAATGAATTGCAGGATTTGCTACGGCCTTTCACTATTGAAAAATAAGTTAATTGAATGAATGAATGATGCATTTATATAGCGCTTTATTGTGTATTGTTGTACACCCAAAGCACTTTACAATCATGTGGGGGGGTCTCTCCTCAACCACCACCAGTGTGCAGCATCCACTTGGATGATTGCTAATTGGATAAAGCTAAAAAGATGTCTAAATACAAATAATCATTGTTTTTTTTGTAGCACAATGTTCCAGTAAGACCCTCCTCATTGTGATCTAGAAGTATATTTAGGTTTTAAAGGAGAAATTTAGCATGGATCCTGTGCCGTGAACTGGATGAAGCTTTCTTGCAGATTATAGACTCGTATTTTGGCCAGAAGCAATGGTTTAGTCAAAATGCCTTAATGATTGATTTGTTTCTTATGAACACTCATCTTTTCGCTTCACAAGACATTAATTGATAGACTGGAGTCATGTGGCTTACTTGTGGATTATTGTGATGTTTTTATCAGCTGTTTGGACTCTCATTCTGACGGCACCCATTCACTGCAGAGGATCCACTGGTGAGCAAGTGATGGAATGCAAATTTTTTCCAAATCTGTTTCAATAAGGAACCAAACCAAAATTTTCAGCAAATTGTAAGCTATTCATTTCAAGAGGGTTGCTGCTAAAATTCACATATTTTATGGGTGGGCCCCTTTCCCCTGGGCCCTATAAAGAGACTATAGCGAGACTGACAGCCCTGGTTCTGAGTGAAATCATAGCGTTTGAAGATCTGCTGCTAAAGTTAATTGGCCAAGTTAATTAACATCTTTCACCACAGGGAGGCAGTCTAAAACTAAAGCTGTATTGCCTCTACTCACTACATAGTGCAACAGTATTCTCATGGTAGTAAGTATTGCGGCATAGTAACATTGACAAGAACTACACATTCTACGTCTGGTTTACATTTGTGTCCACTTATATTACAAGAGTAAAGAAAGGTAGTTTAACATTGACAATATTCATACAATTAAAATCCTCATGGGTGACACCTGCAAAGCTTGTGAAATAAGAGATGAACTCATGAAGACTAAATTAAACTAAAGCTCTCATGAAAAAAAAAAAAACAGCTCACCGGCCACACCAGGTAACAACAAACACGACGGCGTAATACTCCTAGCACTGGCGTGAAGATCATAAGAAAGAATTAATACAAAGGTTGAGGCATTTGTGTTCTCTTACGTGAACTCGCACACTCACACACTGCAGCTTTCACACCAGGTTATAATGAAGAAAATGCACACATTAGTTTCCTCTTCCACAGACAGACCCACATACGCAAGTATAGTAAGGTATTTTGTGTTAGCACACAAATCACTGCAGCTGTGTCAGATTATGAAAGCAGTTCTTTATTGTGTATTGTTGTACACCCAAAGCACTTTACAATCATGTGGGGGGGTCTCTCCTCAACCACCACCAGTGTGCAGCATCCACTTGGATGATTGCTAATTGGATAAAGCTAAAAAGATGTCTAAATACAAATAATCATTGTTTTTTTTGTAGCACAATGTTCCAGTAAGACCCTCCTCATTGTGATCTAGAAGTATATTTAGGTTTTAAAGGAGAAATTTAGCATGGATCCTGTGCCGTGAACTGGATGAAGCTTTCTTGCAGATTATAGACTCGTATTTTGGCCAGAAGCAATGGTTTAGTCAAAATGCCTTAATGATTGATTTGTTTCTTATGAACACTCATCTTTTCGCTTCACAAGACATTAATTGATAGACTGGAGTCATGTGGCTTACTTGTGGATTATTGTGATGTTTTTATCAGCTGTTTGGACTCTCATTCTGACGGCACCCATTCACTGCAGAGGATCCACTGGTGAGCAAGTGATGGAATGCAAATTTTTTCCAAATCTGTTTCAATAAGGAACCAAACCAAAATTTTCAGCAAATTGTAAGCTATTCATTTCAAGAGGGTTGCTGCTAAAATTCACATATTTTATGGGTGGGCCCCTTTCCCCTGGGCCCTATAAAGAGACTATAGCGAGACTGACAGCCCTGGTTCTGAGTGAAATCATAGCGTTTGAAGATCTGCTGCTAAAGTTAATTGGCCAAGTTAATTAACATCTTTCACCACAGGGAGGCAGTCTAAAACTAAAGCTGTATTGCCTCTACTCACTACATAGTGCAACAGTATTCTCATGGTAGTAAGTATTGCGGCATAGTAACATTGACAAGAACTACACATTCTACGTCTGGTTTACATTTGTGTCCACTTATATTACAAGAGTAAAGAAAGGTAGTTTAACATTGACAATATTCATACAATTAAAATCCTCTTGGGTGACACCTGCAAAGCTTGTGAAATAAGAGATGAACTCATGAAGACTAAATTAAACTAAAGCTCTCATGACAAAAAAAAAAACAGCTCACCGGCCACACCAGGTAACAACAAACACGACGGCGTAATACTCCTAGCACTGGCGTGAAGATCATAAGAAAGAATTAATACAAAGGTTGAGGCATTTGTGTTCTCTTACGTGAACTCGCACACTCACACACTGCAGCTTTCACACCAGGTTATAATGAAGAAAATGCACACATTAGTTTCCTCTTCCACAGACAGACCCACATACGCAAGTATAGTAAGGTATTTTGTGTTAGCACACAAATCACTGCAGCTGTGTCAGATTATGAAAGCAGTTCTAGGTAGAGAAACATTTACATGTACATATTAAGCATGTGTATAGGCATTATGTACAAAATGTCATCATGTACATATATTGTCAGTTCTCTAGCTAATAAATGCTACTCTGGCATGACCCGTTATGAAATATCATCCTTTTACTCAGCCATGGCTTTTCAGTTTTATCTCGGCCAATAACAATTAGAAGGCTATGCTTCGTGATAGTATCATCAGATTATGGCAATGCATTCAAACTCCACTGATGTGACAGTATTAGTCGCTGGAGTGTTATCTAGTGGGGTAAAGCGCTGCATATGAAGGCACCCACAAATGTCAAAGGATTCAGTCCTGCCCTGAACTCTCTGTGTTTTCTACAATACATTCTGTAATACTCTTCCTCTGGCACAACTTGTAACTACACATGTTGCTGTTCTGTCATTTTCAGTCTGGGCAAAAAAATAAATAAATGAAAAAGATGCATGGTATAAATATTTGGCTGATACCAATAAGCAGATAATTATTGTTATGTGCAATAACCGATAAATTATGGAAGCCCTCTTTCTTGTGTTCTTGTGATCTCCACACTGTTTCTGTAGATAAATGAATAATATATAAATTCATTTCTATATAAAAAAAGCACAGTATGAAAAATGGAAATTGATTTTGAGATTGGCTAAAGATTACATTTAACAGTGTTATTAAATGATTTGTCTTTTTAAAGATTAACTTCAAGTGAATGTTAGACGACAGCAAAGATAACTAAATGTAAAAATAGGGGAAATGAGTATGAACTATTAAATATCCAAATTCTGGGCAATTATACATATAATATCCACCAAATCAAAAATAAATAAATAAATAAATCCAGTGCACTGTAAATAAAATGATTTTTTTAAAAGTTGTAAATAAAACAAAGATTATTATTGTAGTATGTATGTCTTTGTACTTCAAAATTTCATGTTTAATTCATGTTTTCTTTGCCATTTTGTTGTAATTACTTGTGAAATTTACTAACAATTCCTGAGTGACAATTGTTTCTACACCATATTTTTTTTTCAAATGTATAGTTCCGATATATTGTTTATCCCTAATATATAATTTCGGGCCTAAAAATGCTAAAATCCTTGACCTTTTTTCTCTGTAAAAACATCTTGGATTAAAATGCATTAAAATTGATCAGAATTAACTTATTATTAAATAATTTATAATTATTAAATTAAATTGTTCAAATATGTTTTTAATCCTAAAAAGAGAGCTAGATGCCTGTCTGTTGGCTCAATAGCGACCTTTTTGAGGAACGAATTGTCTTGTATTAAGGATTCAATCTTTCAAACTTTCTGATTCTTGAGGCTGGAAAGCAGACAGAATGTGTAATAAGTGATAAAGAGTGGAAAAGACTCTCTCTTGCATTACTTTCACTAATCATTCCAAATGGCCATAATCATTCCCTCAGCATTCCCAAGATTATCATGCAGTCTAACTTATGTTCAACTGTATGTACAATTTCTCTCATTATCTATTACCTACATCTCGCTAGAAGTCTGTACATGGTTCTCCTCCCCTCCCTACACCCCCCTTCACTCCTCTTCCTCCTCTCCTTCCTTACTTCTGCATGTCACACTGCAGTAAAAGAACAATGGAGGGGTCGCTCTTGGCCGCCTCTTTGAACTCCTCCAGCGTGATCTCATCGTTGTGGTCCTTGTCCATCTTGCTGAAGATTTTGTCCACACGCTGCTGTGGGGTCAGCCCGTCCTCGTTCATACGCATCATGATCACCGTGCCAACCATCTTATAGATTGCCTGGACATCAGAGACATCCCGAAAAAACATGGGGTGAACACATTTCTAAGGCAAACACATATTTGATTATGTGACACAAAGCCTTCTTTGAATCCCTCACCTCAATGATCTCCAGCATTTCCATACGTGTGATCTTGCCATCTCCGTCCAGGTCATACATGTTGAAGGCCCAGTTGAGTTTCTGCTCAAAACTTCCCCTGGAAGTGATGGAGAGTGCGCAGATGAACTCCCTGAAGTCAATGGTACCATCACCGTTTTTGTCAAATGTCCGAAAGGCATGCTGGGCAAATTTTGAAGCGTCGCCATAAGGAAAGAACTGAAAGACACAAAACAGATTCAGCAACTGGCTTTCAGTACACTTTTTAGTAACAACTACATTGGCCTACTTAAGGGAATAATTCGGCCCAAAATTATAATTCTGTCATCATTGACCTACTGATGCGCGACAAAAAATAAATATGTAAACGTATTATTTATTTATTTCAATATTTTGTCTAAAAGTTTAATAAACTGTTCAATTAAAATATAGATTTTCGGAATATTATTTCATATGTCAGGCTTTACAGGGTTAAAGAAGACTTGGAATATAGCACACAAGTCATATGGGCCATTTGTATAATATTTTTATGGTGATTTCTCATTATTTTTTAAGCTTTACAGTCCCTGGTCACAATATGATCTCATTTTATGGAAAATATGAAGGTCAATATTCTGCTTAACATCTTTTGTGTTCCACATAAGGGTTTGGAACAGCATGAGCGCGAGTAAATCATGACAGACGTTTCCTATTTGGGTGAACTAAAGCCTTGACATTATTTTTCATTATGTTTTTAATCTCCATCACGTACCTCAGGGTCACACTGATAGAGTAGGTATATCTAATGTGTAAAGCATCCCTTTGACTTCCCTCACCTTGACATAGAGTTGCTGGAACTCTTCCAGATTGAGGATGCCAGATGGACAGTCCTTCAGGAATCCCTTGTACCACTGCTTCAGCTCAACTTCGTTGAACTCTGTACTCTTGGTCAAGTCATCTAGCACCTCAGGAGCAAGCTTGCTGTTGTGTTTCCCCATCTTTCTACACCTCTCTGTGGACAAGGTGGGCAAAGAGCCATTAAAATACATTCATGCTTTATAGATTAGCAGCAGCAATCAAAAACAGAACTGTATTATGGACAGCAGGTCTCTTGACAAGATTAATGTGAAGCAGTAATGCAATATAACTGCAGCCGTGAATTGCACCATTTCACACCTTTCTCATTACTTCTGCCTCAAGTATCGGAAACATCAAGAGTATAAAGCAAGACTGTATCATTAACAAAAACTATTATCATTAACAAAGATGTTTGTTAATTAAAATGGTATCGCATGGTCTCTCAAGTCAAGTTCCCATTCATTTTCTCCATAGAAAAATAGATAAAACTTTCAAAACAGACTTAACATTGAGCTCCGAGGTTAATAATCAATGGTGTGTTTCTGTTGAAGCCAACAGTCAGTGCTATTTCACCATTTTTGTTAAATTGTAAGTAAATTCATGTGAAGTACACGACCATGAATCCTGAAGAAAAAAGTATAACTTTTGTGAAAATAAAATATGGGGGAAATAATGTTCCATCGTCATTCAGTGTAACAAATATTTTCATGTAAAAATGAAACAACATTAAATATTTTTTTAATCCCTATGGAGCAAATGAATCACTCTGTTATATGAATCAACCATCAGACTGACATAAACAACCAATCAAACATAAAACAACCAATCAGTGAGTGGCAATCACAGCATGAATATTAAAACAAATGCTAAACAATTTCTAACCTAACAGCTAAAATATATGAACAAGTGAAAAACTAAAACTAATCTGAAACTTGAAATCATTATATAAAACAAAAATAAAAACAAGTAATTTTTTTCAACACTATCCACCTTATTTTAATGCAAGACTTCCAATGTCATTCACTTCCAGTTATCTCATGTGCAAAACAGTTAAGCTGCTTGATACTGCAAACTGGTATTTCTTATCATATTATTTTAATGTAATGTTGTAATTATAAACACGCTGGTTTGCAGCGCAAATAGTTTTACCATTTACTGTACTTTGTTATTCTTGTAGTTATTTACCTACAGCGTCTAATCACAGCATGGGGGAAGTCGTGGCCTAATGGTTAGAGCGTCGGACTCGTAACCCAAAGGTTGTGGGTTCGAGTCTCGTACCGGCAGGGATTGTGGGTGGGGGGAGTGAATGTACAGCGCTCTCTCCCACCTTCAATACCACGACTGAGGTCCCCTTGAGCAAGGTACCGAACCCCCAACTGCTCCCCGGGCGCCGCAGCATAAATGGCTGCCCACTGCTCCGGGTGTGTGTTCACTGCTGTGTGTGTGCACTTTGGGTAGGTTAAATGCAGAGCACTATGTCACGTCACTTTGAATGAATCTGAAGTCTTGTACATTCACACAAAATATCTTGCTTCCATATTGCAAACTAAGGTGGATAAGTAACACTGTGTAAAGTAAAGACTGATTAGAACTAGTTTCCATTCTGTTAGCAGCTGTTGCCTGCTATTCTTTTGGGGTTTTACACTTTGTCGTGACATTATGGCTTATAACATGTCTGCCTCTGGCAGAATCTGAGATATATTAAACCAAATCCAAATTGCCCTGGGCTTTGAAAATGGATATATTTGGGTGCACAAATGACAAATGAGACTCTGTGTTAATGAGTCATTATCTCCGCTCTCGGATTATTAAAGTTCATTAAATATTGAACAGGTCTAAATAGTTGACGAGGGGCACATGGCGACGGAATACAGCAGCAGCAGCTTTGCAGAGGAACTCATCTGAGACGTTCTGAGACCCGGTCGCCTACGGCACTATTTTCTCCCCCTGACGGAAGGTCATTTTAGTGGGATCATGATGACTAATCAGAGGTGAGCATTCATCTCCTCTCATTTTCTCTTGCTCTATTTCACTCCCTCTCTTTCACTGACCTTTTTTGGAATTCTGTGGTCAGGCGGCTTTGCTAATCTTGGCATCTTTCTGATTAGTTAACTTTAGACAGGGGGGTTTAATTAAAGATCTAAGTGGTTAATGAACTATATGGCTGACAATATTCACCTCAAGGCTCTGGAAAGCTGATACTTTGGGGCTGGTGAGACAAAACACTATTGTTTTCAATCAGAAAGGCTTCCATCAAACACTGCAAGCACTCATGCCCACAGGCCAACCTTTGTTAACTCGTTTATAATAAGTGACTGCTCAAAGAGCCGGCGTGCAAGAGGAAACAAAATCTGTCAATCATTACTCCAGAGCCCTCCATGAAACTGCAAAGGAAATGAAGAATGGCTCAAATTGGAAAGCAATGTTGGTGGAGGGGCTTATGAAAGTTAATCTACACCCATATTGCTTTGGAACCTGTGAGCGATTCGTGTGGTTACCTGGGAGTTGTAATATGTTGAAGTTGAAAATACTGCAAATTTTTTTGCTATATTTTTTATATAGCAAAATATAAAAGGGGGGGGGGAATCTGATATTTCATATTTTCTCTAAACCTTCTTGGATATCAAGACAGGCACCCTGCAATTCTGGCCAAATTAAAGATAACGTTGTGTGTGAATTTGCACATTATAATGTAAGCATCATTAATGATCCCTTGTGTTTAATAATAAAAAATAAATAAATGAAAGGATGATTTAATAAAAAATGAGAATGATTAGTAATTGTCTCTAATTGGCCTGATTAGCTAAGCCAGCAAACACTTCTTATTTACTGGTACAGTATTGTATTTGTAGAATATATTGAATAGTTTACACTTTGCATAAACATTTGCAATTAGTTTTTAAAAGATAACATCACATTCTTCAGGACTCTACACTTACATTTCTTTATAGGAGCACTTGTGTTCCTACTTAAAAAAAAAAAATTAGGAGCACCTTCTGATCAATGACAGCAATTAACCTTCCCATTATGAGGCGATATTTGACTCTTTAAAGTGTAAAGTTTACCATCGTAATGCAAGTTTTTTTTTCTAAATTTATTAAATGTATGTCATCTTTTGTATCAAAAAAAGTATATTTATAATCTTTTATCAAAAATTTTAATTAAACAATAAATTCAATTAAAATAATAAGATACAATCAGGAAGAATAAGTTACCAGTCAAATGAAATCAGCATCAATAATTTATCTTTTCACTAGGAGGTGCACAGAAGAACACAAATTAAGGAATATTTACAGACTGTTAAACGAGACTCAGAGGTGGATGTTGTCACACCCGGTTGCCTGCACCACTGTGAGGCTTTAGAGGGGGCGTTCCTGTGTTTTGTGTTCCTGCCTGTTCTGGTCATGGACTCCATTTCCCATCATGCTGTGTTTTCATTAGTGTCTATCTGGTTCAGCTGTGTTCCATTTCCTGTTTGGTCCTGTGTTTATGTATATTAAACCCTGGTCTGCTATTGTCGGGGTGAGTTGTTGATAAGTGTTACCTCCTTGTGGTTCCATCATGTATTTTGGATGCTTATTTCTGTGGATTATCATTAAAGGATCTTGAACTGCATTTGGACCCGCTGCCTGTTGCCTACTTGTGTTCATTCGTAACAGAACAACTCACCACAACAAGGGATCCAGCAGTTTTTTATCATGCACCCACGTCAGGGTACTCGTTGTGACCCTTTAAAGAAACTTTGTTCCATTTATCAAAGGGGATGTAATATTGAGGCTTATGTGGAGGAGTTTCTTTCGTATTGCCGCCTTGTACCTGGTGATGATGCATTGCTGAGGGACTGTTTTTGGAGTGGGCTTGACCTGGATATCAGCCTCAACTTGCCTGATGAGGATCCATGTTGGTCCCTGGCGCAATATATTGACTTTGTTTTATTGCTTTATGGATCTGAGTTCACTGTGGGGGAAGTGGAAGAGGAAGTCTCCCCGGCTATAAATTTTTTGCGGGGGGGAGTAGGCCGTGGGCTCCAGTGGCCACTGAGACCAGCAGACCAGGATTGCCATCATGCCACACACTGATGATTGCAAGTCCAGTGTTCGTCACCACTCCCATGCCACAGCCAGAGCCAATTCCCAAGATGGCTGCCATGTTACAGCCAGAGTCAACTCCCAATATAGCCGCCAGGCCACAGCCGGAGCCGCCACGTGTCAGAGCTGCTTCACCTGATCGGCCAGAGTTGCCGCTTCACCTGTCCGGTTCGCCACACCAGTGCCTCCAGCCGTTATGAAAGCCACGCCAAGTTCTTCAGCCACCATGGATGACACTCCAGAGCTTCCGGTCGTCATGGACAACAAACCAGAGTTCCCTGTCATCAGGAGTGTTGTATTTGGAGACAATAAGGCTTTCTCTGGGCGATTGAGGCTGACTTCCAGTTTGGCGGACCCACCATTGAGGTCCGTGAGAGCAGCTGGCATTCCAAGGCCTTCAGAAGTGGAGGTTATAGAGGTGGTTCCTCTGTCTGCAGTGCTTCCAGTCATGGCAGTGGCTATGTTGTGTGTCTTGGCAGTACACTGTACTCTCACTCCGGAACCAAGCCTAGTTCAAGTCTCTGATCCTAAGCCAAGTCCAGTCCAAGAATCCATTCCGGAACCAAGTCCAGGTCAAGTTTCTGTTCCTGAGCCAAGTCCAGTCCAAGAAGCCATTCCGGAACCAAGTCCAGTTCAAATTTCTGTTCATGAGCCAAGTCCAGGCCGAGAGTTCATTTTGGAACAAAGTCCAGTTCAAGTTTCTGGTCCTGAGCCAAGTCCAGTCCAAGAATCCATTCCCGAGCCAAGCCCAGTTCAAGTCTCTGGTTCTAAGCCTAGTCCAGTCAAAGAATCTGTTCCGGAACTTAATCTAGTCCAAATTTCTGGTCCTGAGCCAAGTTCAGTCCAAGACTCTGTTTCCGAACCAGGTCCGGTCGCTGAACCCAATCCAGACCCAGTTCCTCTCTGGCCACCGATCCAGCCGGACCCACCTAAGCCACCATGTGCTCCACCAGCTCTGCCCAGACCGCCATCTGTCTCATCTGCGCTACCTTCTGGTCAAGCAGCTCCATCAGGTTTACTTTTGGCCTCAATCTGGTCTCTGCCCTCTGTTTCACTGACTCCACCG